TGGCAGCGCAAACGTTGGCCAGCTGGGCCTACGACAGTGCGGACCAGCTTCTGGCAGCACTACCGTCTCCGCGTGCACCATTTCAACTGTACATATAGCCTACTCAACTTAACAACCAAATCGTGTTACGACTGTTCTGCAGTCCCGACCATGGTCGTAAGTCGAGCACTACCTGTAGTTGGAATTACAGGCATGTATTACCATGCCTGGCTAATTTTTGTGTTTTTAGTAGAGATGGAGTTTCACCATACTGTCCAGGCTGGTCTCAAGCTCCCTACCTCAAGTGATCCACCTTTCTTGGCCTCCCAAAAGTGTTAGAAAGGATTACAGGAGTGAGCCATCATGCCCAGCTCAGCCCAACACTTTTTTTTTTTTTAAGACAGAGTCTTACTCTGTCACCCAGGAGTGTAGTGGTCTGATCTCAGCTCACTGCAACCTCTGCCTCCCAGGTTCAAGCAATTCTTGTGTCTCAGCCTCCCGGGTAGCTGGGATTACAGGCATGCGCCATTCTGTCTGGCTAATTTTTTTTGTTTTTTTAGTAGAGATGGGGTTTTGCCATGTTCGTCAGGCTGGTCTCGAACTCCTGACCTCAAAAGATCCACCTGCCTCAGCCTCCCAAAGTGCTGGGATTTACAGGGGTGAACCACCCACCGCACCTGACCTCCAGTGTTTTAAGATAGTTATTTTGTCTGTTTTGCTGATGAGGAATCTTAACGCTCAGATGTTAAGAATCTTGCCTAAGGCCACATACATAATTAAATGCCAGAGCAGAAATTCCAGGAAATGCCTTTGCTGTTTCCGTTATGTTTCCATTATTCCATTTTTTGTTCATTAACCTAGGTAGGGGACATAGAAATTCTGAGTTTGAGAAGCACCTGGAAGTATATTTGGTTTGGTTTTGGACCTATTGAAGTTACTGTGGGATGGGTAGGTAGAACTTTGAAAGAGGCAACAACCCAGGTATTTTCACTTGGGACAATGTTGGGTGTAATTTATATCAAGTTTTCCTTTTTTATTGTTACATAATCCAAATAATTAGCCATTTCCTTTTTCTTTTTGAGACAGCAATTTTTCTTTTTCTTTTTGTTATATTTTTATTTAATCCAAATCATTAGCAATTTTTCTTTTTTTCTTTCACTTTGTGACCCAGGCTGGAGTACAGTGGCGCAATCTCATCTCACTATAGCTCAACCTCCTGGGCTCAAGCAGTCCTGCTGCCTCAGCCCTCCAAGTAGCTGGGACTGCATGTGTGCATCACCACGCCTGGCTGATTTTTGTATGATAAGACCGGGTTTCACCATATTGCCCGGCTGGTCTCAAACTCCTAAGCTCAAGCTATCTACCTGTCTTAGCCTCCCAAACTGCAAGGCTTACAGGTGTGAGCCACTGTGCCAGGCCCATTAGCAATTTTTAATAGCATATTTACAAAGTTCTAATATGTATATAACATATATTGCAAGAACATAAGTGCTTTGATTTAGATTATTCAGTTATGTAATTACGTTGAGTCCCAACTACCTGCCAGACACCGTGCTGAGTAGGTAGTAAACATTGGTAGCAAAACAGACACAGCCCCCTGCCCTTATCAGACTACCCAGATAGCCTGGGCACAGTGGCTCTCGCCTGTAATCTCCCCACTTTGGGAGGCCAAGGCTGGCGGATTGCTTGAGGCCAGGAGTTTGAGACCAGCCTGATCAGTGAGACACTGTCTCTATCAAAATCAAAAAAACTGTTGGGCGTGGTGATGCATACCTGTAATCCCAGCTACTGGAAAGGCTGTGATGGGAGGATCCCTTGAGCCCAGGAGTTGGAGGTTGTAGTGAGATTTGTTTGTATACTTTTTATCATTAGATCCATATTTAGGCCCTGAAACAGGCTAATCAGAATATTTAGGTTTTGTTTTTTGTTTTTTTCCAATTTGTTTTCAGCTGAGAATAAAACACAGTAGCTTGGCAAATACAGAGTTGGAGCACAACCTGGCACTGGCATTGGAGGTCCTCAAAACAATCCCCAGATTTGGTGATTCAATAGGACTCATGGGACTTAGTATATAATCTTATTTACAGCTATGATTTGTTACAGCAAAGAATCAAAGCAAAATCAGCTAAGGGAAAAGGTGCTTTGGTCCAAAGGGAACTAAGCACAAGCTTCCAAGAGTCATCTCCTAGTGGAGTCACACAGGACGTGCTTAATTCCTTCAACATATATGAAAGGTTTTCTGCCAGAGCCGCTCATTTGGAGACTCAGTGCCCCAGGTACTGATTAGGTACCCACTGCCTAACACATGACAAAATTTCAGATTCCCAGAGGGAAAGCAGGTGTTGAACACTGTGTAAACCATATAGTGTTTATATAGAGAGGCAGCAGATAGGGAATGGTGGGAACCACCCCCAAATCCACACTTTTTTGTTGTTGTTGTTGTTGATAAGAGTTTCTCACTGTTGCCCAGGCTGGAGTGCAGTGGCAAGATCTTGGCTCACTGCAACCTCCACCTCCTGAGTTCAAGCAGTTCTCCTGCCTCAGTCTCCCGAGTAGCTGGGATTGTAGGCATGCACCACCATGCCCGGCAATTTTTGTATTTTTAGTAGAGATTTTGTATTTTCACCATGTTGGCCAGGCTGTTGTTGAACTCCTGACCTCAGGTGAGGAGTTTCGGCCTCTCTAAGTGCTAGGATTACAGGCATGAGCCACCGTGCCCGGCTATCACATCTTTTTTAAATTGTTGTTTTTATATCCCTGTCTAATCTTCCACTCACTCAGTGTCTTTGAGCCAACAATTGAATCAAGATCCCGTTTTGCTGCCTAGAAAATCAGTGGCTCTCTAGTTATGAAACAGTTGATAACTCAGATATCAAGCCATTTTTAAACAAGTATCATGGGAATTAAAATTTAAAATTAGGCATTTGTGGTAAGAAGGGTGAGGCCACATTCATCTTTAAAATATCAGGAGATCTTAGTCATTTCCTTCCCTCTCTGGGTTTCTGAAAATTTGCATGTAAACTGAAATTAGGTTGTTGAATCATTTTAAATATCTAAAAGATACATAGAGAGTTCCTTTGTTTTAACAACAACAACAACAAAAACACCAAAGGAGAAAATACACTCGTAACATGAATTAAAAGATAGTTTCTATTTTATTCTTTAATGTTTATTAATGTTTTCCCATAAAGTAGAGCTTTCCTTTTCTGTTCTGCTTTCTGTGTTTTCTACACATATGTGAACCACAAGACTGAAGAAATCTAGCCTTTGAAAAACCCATAGTTGGAGTTTATTTGCTCTAAAACCATTTTTTAGTTTTCTTTGTTAGGTTCAAGGATTTAAGAGACCCTTTATATTATCCATAGTTGTAAACCAATTTGTTCCCAGTTTGCATGTGAATGGCAGCTCATCAAAACTGGTCAAATAGGACTGGGGCTAAGTTTCAGGAAGGTAGTCTCGACTCCAAATGGTAATTCAAGGGTAGAAGAACTCAGCTGGCAGAGATCACAGCAGAGGCCAAGAGTTTCTAGTATTCAAAGAGAATCTAGAAAGCCAAGGACGGTAGCACTTAGCAAAGCAGAGAGTCATGATAGGGAGAATCATGATGATGAGATGTTAGAATAATTCACAAATACTGGCATTTACAAAGCTCTTAGTTATCTCATGACTGTATCAACTCTTGAAAGTGGGTATTATCTCCTTTATTCAAAGACATTAAAAGACTTCGTTCAAGCAACCATAGTAAGTAGCTGAGCTGAGACTGAAATCTTATGATTTAATTCTTCAGACTGAAAATCTTACCTTCTAAGGTAGTGTTTTTCAGACTGTTATGTTGATTCTGAGGATTCTGCAGAGGTAACCAAGGTGAGGGCACGGGGATGGGGAATCTCATCCCTCCTAGGTCACACTCCATCCCAGCTTCATTCCACCAGAATTGCTCAGTTTTAAATATTACCATTATAGGCCAGGCCCCATGGCACACCCCTGTGGTCCCACTACTCAGGAGGCTGAGGTTGAAGGATTGCTTGAGCCTGGGAGGTTGAGTTTACATTAAGTTGTGTTTCTGCCACTGTGCTTTTTTTGTTTTTAAAGGCAAAGAAGCTCTTTATTGTTATTATTATTATACTTTAAGTTCTGGGGTACCTGTGCACAATGTGCATGTTTGTTACATAGGTATACACATGCCATGGTGGTTTGCTGCATCCATCACCCCATCATCTGCATTAGGTATTTCTCCTAATGCTATCCCTCCCCTAGTCCCCCACCCTCCAACAGGCCCCGGTGTGTATAATGTTCCCCTCCTTGTGTCCAAGTGTTCTCATTGTTCAGCTCCCACTTAAGAGTGAGGACATGCGGTGTTTGGTTTTCTATTCTTGTGTTAGTTTGCTGAGAATAATGGTTTCCAGCTTCATCCATATCCCTGCAAAGGACATCAACTCATCCTCTTTTATCTACCACTGTACTTAAGCCTGGGCAACAAAGGAAGACCCTGTCTCAAAAAAAAGTGGGGGTTATAAACATGATATCTTTGAGCAAAATTGTTTTGTGTAAAAAATTCACAGGATTACGAGCCACAGAATTCTAATTCCAGTACTGACAATTATTTGACTGTAGGCAAGCTTGGTCCTATAAAATGGGAGAGTTGGTCTTAGATAACATTTAGATTTATTTTTGCTATAGTCCAATCCATTAAAAAATTTTTTAAAATTATTTTTAGAGATGAGGTCTTGCTGTGTTGCCCAGGCTGGTCTCTTATGTGGAAATAGTTCAGTTAGCATTCCGTGCCAGTTCTTCAGTAAAGTCTGTGTTTATATCCTTTAGGTAGATAACTAAATGTGAATGTTTTGGTGTGTGTATGTTTTGTTGTTAAGGCAGAGTGAAACATAGTCACACCACTGTGCATCACCCCAGCTTCCTACCCTTCCCAGAGTTCCCTTTCCCTTCTATCTCTGACCAAAAAATAAAAAACAAACCTACAAAAGGTTTATTAAAAATCTTTTTCCTCTATTTTTGTATTTTAGGAACAAGTTCCAGTTCCAGTCTACCACCCAACACCTAGCCAGACTCGGCTAGCAACTCAGCTGACTGAAGAGGAACAAATTAGGATAGCTCAAAGAATAGGCCTTATACAACATCTGCCTAAAGGAGTTTATGACCCTGGAAGAGATGGATCAGAAAAAAAGATCCGAGAGTAAGTTTTAATTTGTACATTTCAAAGTTTTATTTTCAGAAATTCGCTTTTAAAAAATTTGCGTTTTCTCTTGCACTTTAGAAAGTAAGACATTTAATATATTGAAACACTTCATTTAATGCAAGGATATGTTTAATTTTTTTTTTTTTTTTTGTATCTCTCATTACTGGCTACTAACAAGAGAATGCTGTAATGTAGAGTAATTAAGAATTTTCACAGGCTGGGCACAGTGGCTCACGCCTGTAATCCCAGCACTTTGGGAGGCTGAGGTGGGCAGATCACTTGACACCAGGAGTTTGAGACCAACCTGGCCAACATGGTGAAACCTTGTCTCTATTAAAAATACAAAAATTAGCCAGGCATAATGGCCTGCGCCTATAATCCCAGCTACTTGGGAGGCTGAGGTGGGAGAATCACTTGAAACACTTTCTCAAAAATAAAATAAATAAAAAGCTGGGCACAGTGGCTCACGCCTGTAATCCCAGCACTTTGGGAGACCAAGGTGGGAGGATCACAAGGTCAGGAGATTAAGACCATCCTGGCCAACATGGTAAAACCCTGTCTGTACTAAAAATACAAAAATTAGCTGGGCATGGTGGCTAACGCCTGTAGTCCCAGCTACTCGGGAAGCTGAGGCAGGAGAATTGCTTGAACCCAGGAGGCAGAGGTTGCAATGAGCTGAGATTGCACCACTGCACTACAGCGTGGGCGACAGAGCAAGACTCCATCTCAAAAAAAGGAAAGTTAATGAAGAGAGCTTTAACTTACAGCAGCCCAGTAAGTAGGCTGAAGTTAGTGTTTCTGATTTTACTGGTAGTTATTAAAACGAAAATTATCTTACCCTAGGATTACACTATATAGTACAAGGAAACAAAGTTGATCTAACTGATGCTTTTCTACCTAAAGTAATCCCATTCTCCTTCTCCTATAATATGTAGCTGTTTAATGAGCACACCGGTAGATGTGATCCATATGGAATCCATTTCTCTTTGCTCTGTTGATTGCTCCTAAGTCCTGCAAATTCTCAGGGTTTGAAATAAAAGACTGTGGATAGATCAATATTAAGAAAAAAGTCAGTTTGCATGCTTTGTTGATAAGATGACAGGCAAAGCCTTCAGCTGTGTTACTCAGATTAACACTGTCTTTAATGGGATTTAAAGCATTTTCCGAATAGGACACTTCTGAAAATGCCTTCTGATTTCTTTCTGTTGCTCCCAACAGGTGTGTGATCTGTATGATGGACTTTGTTTATGGGGACCCAATTCGATTTCTGCCGTGCATGCACATCTATCACCTGGACTGTATAGATGACTGGTTGATGAGATCCTTCACGTGCCCCTCCTGCATGGAGCCAGTTGATGCAGCACTGCTTTCATCCTATGAGACTAATTGAGCCAGGGTCTCTCATCTGACTTCAAGTGAACCATCATTTTTGGTGGTTTTGATCTTTTGTCACTGAGCCCAAAGAGCCAGGGATTAGGAATTAAGATCATGCACAAAAGTTTCCTAAAAATTCCTGGATGGCTGCAGATGTTGGGGGAAAAGTACGTGATATTTTAGAAACTTAGAGGGAAAAGTAGGATGGTATTTTTATGTAAAGCCTTGACCCAATGTTTAAAAATATAATTGTATTTAGATCTTGTTATTGCTCCAGTACATAGGAATTGTGTAAAGTGTTACAGCAGCTGTATTTGTTTAAATTGTGTGTATTGAAGATTAGGAAAAAGATAGTAGTTTTTTTCCTAAATGAAATAACTTTCTTCTCTTCCCCCTCCCTACCCAAATTCTTTTCTGAAGTTGCTGGCATTTGGGTCAAGGTTTTATTAAAAGCTACATTTTATAACACTGGCACACAAAAAAGTAGTTTTAAGCTTGTTTGCACAGTTCTTTTTTTCCATTGGAAATGGAATTCATTGCCTTAGGTCTTTTTAAATAGTGTATTATTATCGTTGGGGCTGGCTCTATGCTTGAAAACCAGTTTATTTATAACCTGTTATAAGTGCTATATTCTGTTTGCAGTTAGGAAATGCAGAATTCAAAGTGATCTCCTAGCTTGTAAGCAAACTGAGATGCACTATCCCTTTTCTATAAAAGTAAGTTAATGTGTCAAGAAACCAACTCTATTAAAGTGGGGTTTAATATTACCCTTTCCTATGTGTTTTACCTGATTATTTTGGTTGTTAATATGGTGATAATGGAAAAGTCAAGTAAAATTTAAAATATTAAGAATTCTGATTTATTGAGATTGAATTATACCACCACATTTATGTAAAAATGAAGGTGGCACTGTGGTGGGACCTAATGAGAAATAGTTACTCAGTTGTAACAATTTTGATTTCTCTTTCCTGTGACCTCTTCCCTCTTGTCTTGAACCATAGCAAAAGGATACTGCATCTCTCATTACTGTAGTGCTGAGGTTATTGAAGTTCTATAAAACACATCTCAGTCTCTGTTTCTTGGAAAGGAATCTATTACATCCTGCTAGCTGACTGACAGAACTAAGCAGGGAGAATAAAGATAATTGTATTTTATGTTTTGCACACAAACGCAGAATTTGTATAACCACATGACTTCATAGTTGTGATCTCAGAAAAGAAGGAATTTCTCCTTTGTTTCTTGCAGTTAATGTAAGAATACTTTAAATCTCTAAGCTTCTGAAGTGTTAGAGGTAGAGATGGTCTAGTAAAGATGTAGTAGTAATGTTTTATCCATTTAGCATGTGTTTATTTTTTTCGTATGTACTCAAAGGTGACATATTCACCTTAGTGATATTACAGCTTAAAAAAAAATCATTCATTAGCAAAAGGAAAAGTGGTCTCAACCTAACATCAGAAGTGTTTATTATTTTATATTGAGTTAAATATTGGACTCTAACACTTTCCCACATACAAAACAGTGTCATGAAGTTTCTTCATAATTGCATTATAGAGAAATGTAGTATGTCATTAAGTACTTTGTAAAAATTTGACATTCAACTGTAGTATCCATACGTTGGTTAAATTTCCTTATGAGCCCCATGATGGAAAGACTTAAAGATGAATTTGAGAAAAATTGCAAGAAATTAGATTATCGGGTTCTGTTAAATTGTTACATGTATCCTGCTTAAACTTCTGTTTATTAATTTATATCCACCCAATTACATAAAGCAAATTTGGAGGAAACAACTAAAGTTGTGCAATATTTTTTGTGATAATTGCTTTTTTCATTCTTGTGTTTTCTACTTAAACATGATGTCTGTCATCAAGTATTATTAGTCAGACTTTCTTTTTTTCTAGATTGTTAAAATTGGTAAATGAACGTATTTTAAAATCATCTTTCACGTTGCAGTTAGTCTTTCTTTTCATTACAAGTCTTTGACAGAAGTTTGGTAATACTGAAGGAAGTAGCATTGGGCAGAATGTGTCTTTTTTAGGCACTTTGTATTATTCTCAACCTACAATGTTAAGAACCGTCAATTTTGACTTTTACTAAGTTGTTAAATAAAGTTATAATACAGCTGTGAAGGGTTAGAGTTAATTACATAAGTATTCCCCATATCTTTTAAAATAGTTGTGTATGATAATTATTTTAAAATATCTCTAGGTGTATACATACGTGAGTGTGTGTGTGTGCGTGTGTGTATACACACACATTTGTGGGAAGTATTTTCTGTTGTTTGGCATTTAATATCATGTAAACATATACTTAGGCTTGATAGCATCAAAGTTTCTAAAACCAAACAATAGTTGTAACCTCTTTATCTAGATATGGGCAAGATATGTTCAAGCTTGCTGTGGGATTTGAAATTTCTGAAAAGCCTAACCAGGAAGAAACAAAAGAATCTTATCCTTTTGAGTGCAAAACCCAGTAAGTTGAAATACTTTCAGATATTTGCAGTTTAGCTAACACAAACTTTAAAAAGATTCTATGAGTGTTCTTTATAGGGAATCTCTTCAGTCAGTACTAGAAGACTTGCCCCCTACTATCGGTGTTTATCTTGTGATATAAAACAGTGTGATTTCACAGAACAGGAAGCACTGAGGTAGCAGATTCTCTGCGTACAAACCTTCTTCATAAGGAAGTATTCATTTTTATTGCTTCCTATTTTTTTTTTTTTTTTTTTGAGACGGGGTTTCGCTCTTGTTACCCAGGCTGGAGTGCAATGGCGCGATCTCGGCTCACCGCAACCTCCGCCTCCTGGGTTCAGGCAATTCTCCTGCCTCAGCCTCCTGAGTAGCTGGGATTACAGGCACGCGCCACCATGCCCAGCTAATTTTTTGTATTTTTAGTAGAGACGGGGTTTCACTATGTTGACCGGGATGGTCTCGATCTCTTGACCTCGTGATCCACCCGCCTCGGCCTCCCTAAGTGCTGGGATTACAGGCGTGAGCCACCGTGCCCGGCAGGAAGTATTCATTTTTAAAAAGGAGCAACACTTACAGTAAAACCCCCCTTATCCATGGTTGCTGCAATTTATAAATAAAAATTTTTTTTAAACACTTAATCTTGGCTGGCATGGTGGCTCACGCCTGTAATCCCAACACTTTGGGAGGTCAAGGCAGGTGGGTCACTGGAGGTCAGGAGTTTGAAACCAGCCTGGCCAACATGGTGAGAAAGACAAAGATTAGCTGGGCATGGTGGCATGCACAAGGCACAAGAATCGCTTGAACCTGTGAGGCAGAGGCTGTGGTGAGCTGAGATCCCACCACTGCACTCCAGCCTGCGTGACAGAGTGAGACTGTCCCCCCCCAAAAAAACAAACAAAAAACAACTTTCTGTTTACCAATATTGTTCCTAATCTCGTACTATGCCTAATTTGTAAATTAAACTTTATCATAGGTATATATGTGTAGGTATGTATGTGGTGCTATTCAGTTTCAGACATGCAATGGGGTTCTTGGAAAATATACCCCAGAGATAAAGTGGAGGCTACTGTAGTCAAAAGGAGAGCTGCTTAAGGTCTTGACACTGGAAGTGGTAAATGAGAGAAAGTACATTTCTTCAGCATAAGACACAAAAATATGTTGGTGACTATCTCTGTTTACAAAAGCAGAGGTTAGCAATCATGGAGTCAGCTGATTAAATTTGTGGGTAAATGCATCGGTGTAATAACCTCAAATAATGTTTTAGGACTTAATTAAAAAATTTGTGGACACATTGTATAATGAGAAGGAGGTCAGAAAATAGAAAATTTGTGGACACAAGAAAAGTTGGAATTTTTGGTTAGTGTCTCTTCAAGTAATGTTAAATTTACCTATCTGAATTTAAATAATCATTCTTCTATTTTTTTAATTTTTTTTTTTTACTTTTAATTTTTTTTCTTTTAATATTTACTGCCCTTTTACTGAACAAGAAGAGAGAAGACAATTTGACCTGTCCTTTTGTACTTTTTTGACACAGTCTTTCTCTGTCTCCCAGGCTGTAGTGCAATGGTGTGATCACAGCTCACTCATTTTGTCTCCAAGACACATTTTTCCCACCAGGAGTGTTGATATATCAGTAGTTCTCAGATGCCAGGACAACCAGAGCACAATTACCTAGGGCTCTGGTTGTTTATTAGTAATGGAGACCCCTATCTTACCAGAGTGGGAGAGGAGAAACAAATTTTTCAGACAGGATCTCTTATCTCCCAGGCTGGAGGGCAGTGGCGCAATGATGGCTCACTGCAACCTCCATCTCCCAGGCTCAAGCAATCCTCCCAAGTTGCTGAGACTACAGGCACATGCCACCACACCTGGCTAATTTTTGTTTTTTGTGTTTGTGTTTGTTTTTAGAGATGGGTTTTTGCCATGTTACCCAGGCTGGTCTTGAACTCCTGGGCTGAAATGATCCTCCCACCTCAGCCTCCCAAAGTGCTGGGGTTACAGGTGTGGGTCACCACACTTGGCCATCTGTCATTTGTAACAGGTTCTCCAAGTGATTCTGATGCACTGGCAGGTTTAGGAACCATTGGTAGATAGTCCCTTCCCAAACTTGTGAAATACAGATTTGGTAAATTTTTTGTTTCCTGAGAAATTTAAAGCAGTATTGGGCAGTTGTTGGGTTATTCAGAGATGGATTGTCCAGGCATGATTATCCAGACTTTTTGCTCTTCATTTGTCCTTTTGCTATTTGCTTGCTTTTTAGCATGGATACAGAACATCCAGATGAGTCCCTTTACAATCTGTTTCCTGATTTTACAACTTCTTTCCATCAGAGGCACCAGTGAATTACAAAAAGGGTGTGAGATTTATTTGTACATTTTAATTGTCCACACTGTTTTTGTTGGCTTTATCACATTGAGCAGTAGGCACAGGCTTTTGTTTTGGAGACAGGGTCTTACTGTGTCCCCTGGGCTGGAGTGCAGTGGTTTGATCATGGCTCAGTGTAAGCTCAAACACCTGGGCTCAAGTGATTTTCCCACCTTAGCCTCCCCAGTAGCTAGGACTGACTGTAGGTGCGCTCAACCACACCCAGCTAATGTTTTGTTTGTTTGTTTGTTTTGTAGAGGCAGAATCTGGCTTTGTTGCCCAGGCTGGCCTGAAACTCCTGGCCACAAGAGATTCTCCTGCCTTAGCCTCCCAGCGTGTTGGGGCTGTAGATTTGAGTTACTGCTCCCAGCCTGGCACTGCTTTAAGACAATAGCTGGATGCATCTGATTAATATTAACTGAGTAAAGCCATTTATCATTTCCTCACGTAAGGTTTTTTAGTAAAAGTATGGTCGAGATTACCTTTTCATTACATTTCTCTTTCTTGAGAAAAACTACTGTTCATTGGCACATTTAGTCATCTTTGGGTGCTTTCCAGAAAGTCTCTTTGAATGAAGGAGTGTTAGCAATAAGGTACATGTTTTGGGCATCTAAAACTGATGGTGATAAAAGGAAGGAGCAGCGCCTAGTTGCTTTGAACCCCTTCTCTAATATTAGTGCTTGTGGGCTCCACATTTCTAGGCACTGAGAAAAATAAGTTGAAGATAACTAAGGGGCATCCCTAATAGTCTTGGCATTACAGTGTGTACTCTGAACACCTGTGAGGTTTGGTTGGCTATGCAAAAAACTTCTCGCTGGGGGTTACCATAGTAGCTAATCTGGTCAATTAGGACCCAAAAGCAAGTTTTAAGCATTGTGTGTGATTTGAAAAGCCTGTACTATGCTATCAGAAAGACCCTGAGATTGACTTCCAGCATTATCCAAATGGGGTGCAGGAATAGACTACATTCTGCCAACCCCAGAATTACAGCCAGTCCTTCAGCCTTGAAACATTGCAGAATGATGATCCTCTATCCAAAGCTTAGCTGAACTTTGCAAACCGATTATAAATTAACAACTGCAACTTTACAGTGTGCAAGGTGTGGAGAACGGAAGAGATTGATTGGGCTGCTTGCTTATAATCACTACTGTAGTGGTATCTTGACATGAGGAAGTAGAATTCGTGGGCATTCTGATTTCTGGTTGTGAGACAGGTGCTATTCTAGTAAGGATTTTCAGATGGGCTGTTTCTGCAAGTTCTGCTCTCACGTCTCTCAAAGTTTGAGTGAATGGCTTTGAAGATATACCTGAAATCCTGTTCCTGGGCATGGATTTTAATAAACTGGATTTCTGATTTTTTTGTGAAGAACGTGAAATACCTACTCATATTGAGTCTAATTATAACTCAGCATATTGAAAGCATTTTTTTTTTTGAGACAGTCTCACTCTGTTGCCCAGGATGGAGTGCAGTAGTACAACCTTGGCTCACTGTAACCTCTGCCTCTTGGGTTCAAATGATTCTCATGCCTCAGCCTCCCGAGTGGTTGGACTACAGGTGCCTGTCACCATGCTCAGTTAAAGTTTGTATTTTTTGTAGAGACGGGGTTTTGCCATGCTGGCTAGGCTGGTCTCGAACTCCTGATCTCAAGAGATCTGCCTGTGTAGGTGTCCCAGAGTGCTGGGATTACAGGTGTGAACCACCGTGCCCAGCCAGAAACGTTCTTTTTTCCTTAAGTCTAGTAGCTGGTGAAGGAAAGATGCAGCACTTTTATGGTCAGACAAACCAGAAGCAACTGGTGCTGGGGACTGACTTCCATGTTTAACCCTGTATAATCCATTCTTCACACAGCAGTTAAAATAATTTTAGGTGAATAAATAAGTTGATGTCATTTTCCTACTTAAAATTTCAATAGCTTCCCATAATGCAGAGCATAAAACCCAGACTCCTTAACAGGGATGAATTGACTTTCTGCCTCTTCATTTGAATCAACAGTTTAGCCTCATGGACCGTCTTATTGTGCCTTCTTAAAATGCCAGGTTCTTTCCTCTCTCAAGTCTTTTTGTGCTATCATTTCTGCCCTGCAGCTCTCTTCTCCACATTGTTCAGAGAGGTGACTTCTTATCCTCTAGACCAAATACATCCCATTTACAAGCATGTATTAGGCAATTTTGTCCTCAGGAATATTGTAGAATGTACTTGCATAAACCTAGATGGTATTGTTGTTCCTAGGCTACAGACCTAGAGAGCATGTTACTGTGTTGAATACCATGGGCAATTGTAACAGTGCTT